ATGGCAACCCAGGGACCGCCACGTCCCCCACGTCCCCACCACCACCAGCACCTGGACCCGCACCAGGGATGGAGGCTGCTGGGCGAAGGACGAGCTGCCAGCCCGGCTGCCACCCCCCTCGGGCGCAGTTTGGACAGAATTTTCCAAAAAGGAGGAGATGGGTTCTCTTGGGGAGACACAAGGACAGAGCTCCCCTTGCAGAAGTTCGGGGATGCCACCCTGCAGAGCCCCCAGGAACCCCTCCATCCGGGCAGGAGGGAAGCTGTGCATGGCCAAGGGACCTCCAGGAGCTCCCCCCCACCAAGGGTGGCCACCATGAGATGAGGGCTGTAGGTAGGAAAAGGGGATGATGTTGCCTGTCCCCACCTTCAGGGCTGCTGACAGCGGGTGGTGGGACCCTGGGGACCGCAGGAAGCCAACAGCATCAGCCAAAGCAAATGCTCCCGGCAGCCGGGGGGGCTGGAAAGGGCTTTGGCAGAGCAAGGGGGGGGGGGCAAGGCAAGAGGGGCCTGGCAGAGGACAGTCACGGTGCAAAGGGTCAGGAGGAAGAGGTTGTGCCTTCAGCTGGGGTTTCCACACACAAACAGGAGCCAGAGAGAGCACAGGAGGGACTTGGGGGGGCTGTCCTCAGTGAGGTCGGGTCCCCAGACCCCCCAGTGCTGCCCACACTGTGGGTTATGGTGACAACCAGGGGTAGATGGGACTGTCCCTGGTCCACATCTGTCCCTGGTCCACCTCTGCCCCCACCAAATGCCCCCCTTTGCTGCCCCCCTCCCTGCTCCTCACAGCCCACGTGGACTCGAGCCCCTCGGGAGCAGCGAAGGGCTCAGATACCCCTCTGGATGGGGCACGGAGGAGCCTGGAGAGGGGCAGGAGGGTCATCACCAGGGCCTTGGGCAAAGGGGCTGGAGAATTCATGCTGCCAGGCTTTCATGGTGCTGCTCTGGGCGAGCCCCACCTCCAGCCTCCTCCTCCTCCTCGGGCGGGAGGAAGGTCACGGCAATATCACACGCAGAGGGATTAGAAGCCACTCACGTTGCTGATCTGATCCTGAGTCTTTTTGATTCTCTGCAGCTCCGGGGTGTCAGCCACCACGCTGAAGCCTTTCCCCTTGTTCTTCTCAAACTCCTCCTTGTAGCGAATCTGGGCGCAAAGGAGAGAAAACAGGTTTAAATATGGGGGAAAAACAAGGAAAACCAGATTTAACCACGGGGGGAAGGTGGTGTGCAGAACAGCTGGGTTCAGCAACAGACCCCCATCGTGGACCACGCTCTTCATGAGACGCAGCAGCTTCCCAACAGGGTCCTGCCTTGCTCAGGAGACACCCCCCCCCCCCTTGCCAAGGGCTGGAGCACACAAACAGCTTCCCGTGCATCTGCTGCTCTTGGTTCTCTTCCAACGGGGGCTGGGGGTGACTGGGATTTACTCTGCATTTCCTGTGGGTGACCAGCAGACCCAGGTCACGTACCATGGGGCAGCAGACCCACGGCAAGCCGCCCGCCGCAGAGCCCTGAGGGTTTTATGATCTATATCCCCCCCCCCAGGAGCAATCCCACGCCAGGGGACATCCAGCCACCTCTGGGAAGGAATACACCCAGAAGATCATAATGAAACCAGAGAGTGGAGGCTGGCGAAAGATGAGCATCCTTATTTCTGTTTGCCAGAGACTGACATCAGCATCGCTTCCCATCACACCCGGGAGTGGAAAAGTCACGGTTTTCTTTCCTTTTTTTCCTTTTTTTTTTTTTTTTAAAAAAAAACCAAACATAGCTCTACACAGCAGCTCCTGGGAGCAGCTCTCCCAGGAGGGAGCCAAACCAGCCCCAGCTGCGATGTGCTCCCCAGCCCTGGGGGGCTGCAGGGGCTGCCCCTGGTCCCAGCTGGGGACAGGGCAAAGGCAGAAGTTCGGGGATGCCACCCTGCAGAGCCCCCAGGAACCCCTCCATCCGGGCAGGAGGGAAGCTGTGCATGGCCAAGGGACCTCCAGGAGCTCCCCCCCACCAAGGGTGGCCACCATGAGATGAGGGCTGTAGGTAGGAAAAGGGGATGATGTTGCCTGTCCCCAACAGCAAAATGGGGCATTGCCAAGGGCTGGAGCACACAAACAGCTTCCCGTGCATCTGCTGCTCTTGGTTCTCTTCCAACGGGGGCTGGGGGTGACTGGGATTTACTCTGCATTTCCTGTGGGTGACCAGTGGACCCAGGTCACGTACCATGGGGCAGCAGACCCACAGCACCCCCGCCGCAGAGCCCTGAGGGTTTTATGATCTATATCCCCCCCCCCAGGAGCAATCCCACGCCAGGGGACATCCAGCCACCTCTGGGAAGGAATACACCCAGAAAATCATAATGAAACCAGAGGGTGGAGGCTGGCGAAAGATGAGCATCCTTATTTCTGTTTGCCAGAGACTGACATCAGCATCGCTTCCCATCACACCCGGGAGTGGAAAAGTCACGGTTTTCTTTCCTTTTTTTCCTTTCTTTTTTTTTTTTTTAAAAAAAAACCAAACATAGCTCTACACAGCAGCTCCTGGGAGCAGCTCTCCCAGGAGGGAGCCAAACCAGCCCCAGCTGCGATGTGCTCCCCAGCCCTGGGGGGCTGCAGGGGCTGCCCCTGGTCCCAGCTGGGGACAGGGCAAAGAGGCAAAGAGACAGGGCAAGAGACACCAAAGAACATCAGAGGGACACGAGAGACTTGAGTTCAAGGCAGAAACCTCCTTTTTTTGCTGGAAGCAATAAGAGGCAGAGGGAAAAAAAAAATAAAAAACAACAAAAACCCAACAAACCACTTTTGCTAGCTGGGTTAAAGAACATCTCTTGAACATCAGTGAGGAGGAGGGAGCAGCCTCGAGGTATTAACTGTGGGGGACGAGGAACCAAAGGTTACGGAGCGGGGACGTGGAGCCTGTGACACACACCCAGGCAGGGATATCAGGAGGGGGTGAGTCACCCCTGGGGACAGGGGGGATGTGGTTGTCCTTTATTTGCTCCGCTTTTAATAAAGGCTGGTTTTTTTTTTCTTGAGAGCTCCAGGGCGTGGGACGCGGCCCCCCCGTCCTGCCGGGGAATGCTGCTGGGAAAAAGTGGGATTTTCCTGTGGCCAGCCCCGAGGAGGGGACCCCGGGTACCAGCACCAAAGGCACGAGTTGAGGAGATGTAAGAAATTCAGGCTGGAAAGATAAAGAGCCACCGAGCACGAAGCTGGTCACAAGGCTAAAGCACTTCCCTTGAGAACTTCTGTATTTTTACCCCCCTCAATCCACCCTCCTCCACCTCCCTGGGGTTTTTTCACCCCTCTAACGTCCAGGATGCACGAACTTGGCCCTAAAAATCCTGCTGTAAGGGGATGCCTGACCGTAGAGGGGACCCCATCCAGGGGTCGTGGGGGAAGATGCTGGTACCAGGGGGCAGGTTGAACCCAAAACACACATCCAAGGCTGGAGCTGGGGTTCTTCCCTCGCCCCCCAGCACACCCAGCCACAGGAATCAGAGCACGGCACAAGCATTGGGGTGATGCTGGGAGGAAGCCAGGGACCCCAGGAGGCAGACACTGTCCCTGTTGCAATTTAATGGGATCCACAGCCATTCTGGGCTCGGGCACCCTGACTCATCTGGGTCCTGGGGAGCTGCAGCCATCGTCAGGGCTGAGTGAAAAGGCCGGAAAGGAGGGAGGAAATGCTCAGACAAGGCGCTTTTCAGCTTCTCCCTGCCCTTATATGGGCACTGGGCTGTGCAGGCAGGGTCGGGCAGGCAGGGTCGGGCAGGCAGGGGTGACCTGTGACCACCAGCCATGGAGGAATCCCACAGTCTGCCCTTGGAGAGGAACGAATCCTTGCTCCAGCCACGCTCCCGGGGTCCTGCTCCCCAGGAAACCACCCCCTCAAGTGCAGGGCACCCTGGGTGACACAGAGGGGGAGAAGCACACAGTTGGGTATGTCCCATCGTGCAAGTGGCCGTGGCAAGTACATCCTCCAGGGCAAGTGATCCCAGCTGGGAACTAGTCCATAGAGAGCCATCGCTCCAGCTGTGCCCTCCAACCCTCACCCCTGCTGCCTCCCATCCACACGCTGTGCCAGAGAGCGGGGTGATGCACACAGCCGTATCCACACCCCATCCCATAATACTACTAAAAAAATAAAATGGGATCCACAACTGATTTCCCCAGAGGAATTGTTCCCTCCGTGTCACCCGACGGCAGCCGGAGAACGGCCCTTCGCCATCGCAACCCCCCACGGGTCTCACAATAAACCCTCCTTGTCTCCACGTCCCTGGTGTCACCAGCAGCCGTTCCCTCCGTGTCACCCAAGAGAACGGCCCTTCGCCATCGCAACCCCCCATGTTCCCTCCGTGTCACCCGACGGCAGCCGGAGAACGGCCCTTCGCCATCGCAACCCCCCACAGGTCTCACAATAAACCCTCCTTGTCTCCGCGTCCCCGGTGTCACCAGCAGCAGCTCCCGGAGGGGACAGGAGCTGGGGACCTGCCTCCCACACCCCAGGAGCCTCCACCCTCCGGCAGGAAGGGCAGCACCCAAACCCACCCATTTGAAGAGTTTGAAAAAGGACCCATGGGAAGGGGAACCTGCAATTTTCTTGCCACGCGTGGGCTGTAAGAGATGGCTGCAGGCGCCGGAGCTGTCACTTTGGGGACCCATTTAGCCACACGAGACATCATTATCCAGCTTCTGTTCCAGTGACCGGAACAGAAGACGCCTTCTCAGCAGACACAAATAGCGGGAGCGACATGAAACCCAGCCACCTCGACACCCAGCTGTCCCACAGCCACCTTGCCATGGCCACCTTGACACCCAGCCACCCCATGGCCACCTCGGAACCCAACTGTCCTACAGCTACCTTGCCATGGCCACCTTGACACCCAGCTGCCCCATGGCCACCTCAGCACCCAGCTGTCCTACAGCCACCTTGCCATGGCCACTTTGACACCCAGCCATCCCATGGCCATCTCAGCACCCAGCCGCCCCATGGGCACCTCGCCATGGCCCCCTTGACACCCAGCTGCCCTACAGCCACCTTGCCATGGCCACTTTGACACCCAGCCATCCCATGGCCATCTCAGCACCCAGCCGCCCCATGGCCACCTCGGCACCCAGCTGTCCTACAGCCACCTTGCTATGGCCACCTCGACACCCAGCTGTCCTACAGCCACCTTGCCATGGCCACTTTGACACCCAGCCATCCCATGGCCATCTCAGCACCCAGCCGCCCCATGGGCACCTCGCCATGGCCACCTTGACACCCAGCTGTCCTACAGCCACCTTGCCATGGCCACCTCAACACCCAGCTGTCCTACAGCCACCTTGCCATGGCCACCTCAACACCCAGCTGTCCTACAGCCACCTTGCCATGGCCACCTTAGCACAGCCGCCAGCAGCTGCTCCGGTGGCCCCCTGGCTTTTCCAGGTGGTGTATTTTGGGTGGGAGGAAATATGGGATCAACCCCATCATGGTCACCCATGAGGACAGCAGCTCTCCAGCCCCACCACACAGCCGCCAGCAGCTGCTCCAGTGGCCCCCTGGCTTTTCCAGGTGGTGTATTTTGGGTGGGAGGAAATATGGGATCAACCCCATCATGGTCACCCATGAGGACAGCAGCTCTCCAGCCCCACCAGAGCTCTGCTCCAGAGGAACGGGCAAAACTGCTGGGGAGCATTGTTCCTCGCCAGGGAAGGACCCTGCACCAGTTAGAAACCAGCTCTCTGGTCTGGTTAGAAGCCATCTCTCTTCTCCTGCAGCTCCTCCAGAGGGACTGGGACTTGGGGAAGCCTCGTACCCAGGACCAAAGGCTCGACCAGGGCTGAGTTGGGCCAGGAAACGTGAGCCTGAAGGCAAGATATGACTGTTCACAGAACCCTCATCTTTCTCCACGGGGGATTTTACCACCAGCTCCACGTGCAGAACTCTGCCCGTCCCAGCAGCGCTCACCAGGATGCACTTTTCAGGTGGCACTTGAACGGGCAAAGCGTGGTGCAGAAGACCTCCTGCCAGGCTGTCCAGGGAGCCCTTCTCCACGAGCCTTCCCTTGTCTCAGCTCCAGTTCACCCAGTTTATTTGCAAGACCCAGCCCCGCTGCCTGCTCTGGAATGGCTGAAGTGCCCCATTCCTGTCCCTGGTGGGGGGTTTGCTCAGCTCCTGCAATTAGTGAGAAGGGGTTGTCATCAAGCCAGAGCGGCTGCCGGTGTTTTAGCCCCAGAGCTTCAAGAAATACAAACGCTTGGGCTTGGAAAACAGGAGACTCCCTTTGTAGGCAGAACAAAGGCAGCGAGGAATTAAGATCTTTATCTGGAGCGTGCTCAGGATCTCTCCTCCCCAGGGCTTGGGGCTCTTCAGCCTGGCAGTTTCCATCCCTTCAGCTTCACCACCTCCCTCCCGCTGCTCCCCAGCCCCTCTCCCACCACCCCCAGCAGCCTCCTCTCCCTCCCACTCGCCCCAGTCCTGGTTTGCAGTTCACCCTGGTGTGAAACCAGCGCTGAGAAGCTGGGGTGGTGGTGTCTGGCAGAGCCTGCCCGCACCCCAGCCCTTCCTCTGACACCTTCACATGCCATCAAGACAGCACTGAAGGCTCTTCCAGCCCTGTCCTGTCCCACCTCCAGCCCCCCAAAAGCCCAGGAGACCACAGGGTACTGGGCACAGCTGCTTCTCTCCCAGGTCCTGCTGGCATTTGAGTTGTAATGACCAACTTCTGGAGGTGCAGGCTTGAAAGAATACAGACACCCCCTCCCCTGGAAGGTTTGCCTCCAGCCCCCTCCTGTGCACCACAAGGAGGTGGAAGCCCCAGGAAGCTACAGAAAAAGCCCAGGCAGCTGAGCACAGTCCCTCCCCGGGGTCTCCTTTAATCAGCAACAACTAATGAAGAGCCTGAATTCATCGTAAAAAGCAGCGCTGGAGACTCCAGAACCACTCGCTGCAGCGAGATCTCGATTGTTACCATGGAAAAGAGACCGTGTCCCCTGAAAAACTGCTCCACGAGACACAAAGCCAGCCCTGGCTCCCAGTGTGAGTCCAACTGGGCTTGTGCAAGCCGGGGAGCCGTTGGGCAACAAGCCCCGAGGAAGAGACCTTGCAAAAAGGGGAGGTTTCAAAACTCGACGCCGGCCATGCGGGCACCGCCGGCTCTAAGAGGTGAGGTTTTGAGGTTCCCCATCCTCCTCCTCCATGGGGACGCGATCCCAGGCAATCTGCTTTTCAGCTCCCGGGACTCCCAGGTTGAGGGGAGGAGAAGGCAGGAAGGTGACGGCATCTCCCGCAGCCCAGCAGGGAGAGAGGAGAGCACCGAGCCCAAAAAATGACCGCTCGGCCCCGAAAACACCATGACAAATCCTGTGCCAAATCCTCCCTCCGCCCAGGCCCAGCGCCGACACGACGTCGAGCGGAGCCAGCACCCCCCTTGCTGACAGCCCCCCCCGCGGCCTTCCTGCCCCCTTTTCAAAGGGAAAGCGAAATTAAATGGATTTCCCAGAAGAGTCACCACATCCTGCGCTCTCCTGAGAGAGCCTGACTCCAGCCAGAATTGCCCCTGGATGTGTTTTCTCCCGGGGCTGCCATCCGGCCACGGCCCAGTCCCCCCAACAACAGCTCAGGGCACCATCCCAGAGGTATCAGCAAAGCCCCACAAAGAAGGGTCACCCACCAAAGCTGCCCATCTCTGGGCCAACCTTTGCCTTTCCAGCCCCTTCTCTGTGAAACCAGCACTCATGTTTCTGTTCTCGAGGTCTTGGAGTGGGAGAAGGAAACCTGGGATTGCTCCTGGGACCTCCCCTCTCCCCGAGGGACCGGTTCCCACCACATCATCAGGAGTTATGGGTGCAAGAACCCAACCCACAGCCCTGCGTGGAGGCTGGGGACTTCTGCTGATCCAGGGACACCTCCAGGGCATAAAACGGGGCACGTCCAGACAACTCCCTTCTCAAACAGGCTCCGCTCTTCCCACTAGAGAGAGAAACCCTTATCTGGGCCAGCCCTTATCCCTTCTATCTGTTTACTTCTCCTTGCCAGAGCTTTCAAGCCCTACAAGACATGGGTTCACCCCAAATACTCGCTCAGAGTGTCAACGCCTGTCCAGATGGGGCCCTTTCCCAATTTCTCCTGGTTGGGAGCTGGGAAAAGCTAAACTGGTGTGAGGCACGGACTGGGAGCAGCAGTGCCCACCTCAGGGAGGTTATGGATTGTTTTCTCCCGGGGCTGCCATCCGGCCACGGCCCAGTCCCCCCAACAACAGCTCAGGGCATCGTCCCAGAAGCGTCAGCAAAGCCCCACAAAGAAGGGTCACCCACCGAAGCCGCCCATCTCTGGGCCAACCTTTGCCTTTCCAGCCCCTTCTCTGTGAAACCAGCACTCATGTTTCTGTTCTCGAGGTCTTGGAGTGGGAGAAGGAAACCTGGGATTGCTCCTGGGACCTCCCCTCTCCCCGAGGGACCGGTTCCCACCACATCATCAGGAGTTATGGGTGCAAGAACCCAACCCACAGCCCTGCGTGGAGGCTGGGGACTTCTGCTGATCCAGGGACACCTCCAGGGCATAAAACGGGGCACGTCCAGACAACTCCCTTCTCAAACAGGCTCCGCTCTTCCCACTAGAGAGAGAAACCCTTATCTGGGCCAGCCCTTATCCCTTCTATCTGTTTACTTCTCCTTGCCAGAGCTTTCAAGCCCTACAAGACATGGGTTCACCCCAAATACTCGCTCAGAGAGTCAACGCCTGTCCAGATGGGGCCCTTTCCCAATTTCTCCTGGTTGGGAGCTGGGAAAAGCTAAACTGGTGTGAGGCACGGACTGGGAGCAGCAGTGCCCACCTCAGGGAGGTTATGGATGGAGGGAAGGGCAAACAGAGCTGAGATGGGCAAGACCCAAGAGCGGGGAAACCCCAAACCCACCTCTCCCTCCTTTGGATGTAGGAAAGCACCAAAGCTGCCCATCTCTGGGCCAACCTTTGCCTTTCCAGCCCCTTCTCTGTGAAACCAGCACTCATGTTTCTGTTCTCGAGGTCTTGGAGTGGGAGAAGGAAACCTGGGATTGCTCCTGGGACCTCCCCTCTCCCCGAGGGACCGGTTCCCACCACATCATCAGGAGTTATGGGTGCAAGAACCCAACCCACAGCCCTGCGTGGAGGCTGGGGACTTCTGCTGATCCAGGGACACCTCCAGGGCATAAAACGGGGCACGTCCAGACAACTCCCTTCTCAAACAGGCTCCGCTCTTCCCACTAGAGAGAGAAACCCTTATCTGGGCCAGCCCTTATCCCTTCTATCTGTTTACTTCTCCTTGCCAGAGCTTTCAAGCCCTACAAGACATGGGTTCACCCCAAATACTCGCTCAGAGTGTCAACGCCTGTCCAGATGGGGCCCTTTCCCAATTTCTCCTGGTTGGGAGCTGGGAAAAGCTAAACTGGTGTGAGGCACGGACTGGGAGCAGCAGTGCCCACCTCAGGGAGGTTATGGATGGAGGGAAGGGCAAACAGAGCTGAGATGGGCAAGACCCAAGAGCGGGGAAACCCCAAACCCACCTCTCCCTCCTTTGGATGTAGGAAAGCACTGGAGGATGGGGAGAAGGTTGGAGGATGGGGAGAAGGTTGGAGGACGGGGAGAAGGTTGCTGGTGTTTCTGTTCTCAGGGTCTTGGAGTGGGAGAAGGAAACCAGGGATTGCTCCTGGGACCTCCCCTCTCCCCGAGGGACCGGTTCCCACCACATCATCAGGAGTTATGGGTGCAAGAACCCAGCCCACAGCCCTGCGTGGAGGCTGGGGACTTCTGCTGATCCAGGGACACCTCCAGGGGATAAAACGGGGCACGTCCAGACAACTCCCTTCTCAAACAGGCTCCGCTCTTCCCACTAGAGAGAGAAACCCTTATCTGGGCCAGCCCTTATCCCTTCTATCTGTTTACTTCTCCTTGCCAGAGCTTTCAAGCCCTACAAGACATGGGTTCACCCCAAATACTCGCTCAGAGTGTCAACGCCTGTCCAGATGGGGCCCTTTCCCAATTTCTCCTGGTTGGGAGCTGGGAAAAGCTAAACTGGTGTGAGGCACGGACTGGGAGCAGCAGTGCCCACCTCAGGGAGGTTATGGATGGAGGGAAGGGCAAACAGCTGAGATGGGCGAGACCCGAGAGACCCACACCCCAAACCCACCTCTCCCTCCTTTGGATGTAGGAAAGCACTGGAGGACGGGGAGAAGGTTGGAGGACGGGGAGAAGGTTGGGTGATGGATGGGGTGAAACAGGGTGGCCCCGGGCGAGGAGGGACCCACGCTCTCACCTGGCTCTGGAGCTCGCTCTGCTGCTTTAGGCGCAGGTTCTCGGGAGTGTCTGCCACCATGGTGAAGGGCTGCTTCGGGTAGTGTCTGCAGAGAGAGGGACATCATTAAGCACAATATTCCTACAGGACACGGCCACACACACTTTGCCACCCACCCCAGGACCACCAGTCCCCAGCAGAGCTGGCCCTTTTCCCACCTGCCCCCAGCAGATACCCACTTCTCACTGGGTTCTCCCCCAATCTCAACGCATCAACTTCAGTTAAACTTCAGTTTCATCAAAGAAAAAGAGGAAGGGGAGGTTTTCTTTCCCCCCAGGAGATGAAGCCATTGAAGTTTGGTGCCTGGAGAGACCTTAACACATCTTCAATTTTTCATTAAGCACTCCTCAGGGCAACATGGTTGGAGGTTTCTCTTCCACAGGAGTTAAACTGGGAGACCCAGACTGGGTGGCAGGAACAGATTGCAGGACTTAAGGGAAGTTTCTGCCCAGTGCAGGAGAGGGGATGGGAGGCCCAGAGACAGCACCAGCCCCGTTTCACACCGAACACGCGTGGCATCAGGGCAGCACCTCACCCCACAGCCCAGTTCCACTTTCAAATAGATGTGAGAACTTGCACAAATTCTCTTGCAAAGGCCCTTTCACTCAGAAGCTCCTGGGAGAGGGGACCAGGGTGGAGGAGTCCACTGGAAAGGGACTGCAGCTCCTCGCCGAGGACAACCTGGGGGGGTCTCACTCGCTTGTGGGGATCCGAAGGCTCTGAGCCTGCGATCCCAGGGCTATCACACACCATGCAGCTTCCACTTCCCACCTCTCCATCCATGTAGCCCAACCAGTGGCTGATCCAAGCCCTCACCTGGCAACTACACAGCAAACCACGGGGTGGTTGTGGCTCCCATCCCTTCCCAGATCCCATCAAAGGGGGCTCTGTGGGTCTGGAGAAGCCCCCGGGCTGTGCCTGGGGAGCTGGTGTGCTCCAGCACCAGCAATTATCTATTTACAGCATCAGCATTAGCACCTCTGTCCTCGGCTGATCCAAATGTGGTCAAATGAGGGTAAATGAGCAGAAAGGCAGCGGCAGGGAGGGGGGTGTGTGGTGGTGGTGGCTGGGGGGGGTGTCTGGTTGAAAGCTGCTGCCGTGGAGGGACAGCCACTGACAGGCAACCACAGACCTGCAAGAGCAGCACATACCTCAGAAAAAAGCAGCAACGCAGGAAACTCAAGAATAAAAATAGCTGCCTCAGCCACGCTGAAAAAATAAAGAAACACATCCCCCCACCTCCCCACCCCCCCCATCACACACAGAAACCCAACAAGGCAGATGTGGTTTGCAGAAAGGGGAAAAGACAACTCAGCAAGCAGCAGCTTGCTGCCTGCTCCCCCCCACCACCAACCCTGGGCCAGCAGGGGAGGGGAACCCCCAACTTCCCCCCAAAAATACACCCCCACCTCCCTGGCTCTGGGTCTGATCCTGCTGCCACCACCATCCCAGCCCCCTGCTGCTCCAGGGAGGTGGGAATCAGCACCAGGGTCCCAAAGGAAGGGGGGGAAACATCCTTTGGGGGGGGAAATACCCTGCCCACCCCCAGCACACACATTGACAACCATCCCACCAGCATCTGATGGGCATCGGCCACAGGACCATCCCTCATCCTCCACCGGTGGGTAAGGGAGCACAGAGGACACAGCTGCACCCACCCCAAAATAAGCCCAAATTAACCCCTCCGTGTCCAGCCATAAAGGAGAAGAATCAGTTTTACACAAACAAGAGATCACCCACTGCTTGAGGGATACGGTTTAATCTCTGTTTAGATTAATCTGATTAGGGGGGATATAATAACGTGCGCTCGGGCTCCCTTCCCCGCTCCCTCTGGGCACCGGGATGTCGAGGCGTCTCACTGGGACACGAAACCACGGCAGATATTTCATCAAGCTACTGCCTGCAGCAGAGAAATCCCTGCATTAAGACTCCAATAATAATAAAATCCAATTCTCCAAGGAGGGGGGGGGGGATTCCTGCACTCACCAGGATCAACAGACACCGGGTGGACACCACATTGCAGAACTAAGCAGGGGTTTATTATATTATTATTATTATTTAAGTGATTTTGATGTTTTGGCCACCACTCCTGCTCTCCTGGCTGGTGGCACGTGGGTGTCCAGGTCAGGGCTACCAGACACTTGGGGAAAGGCTTGGCTACTGCCACCAGCACAGAGTTGCCCTGGCAAGTGACATTTTTAGAAGGCACAAACCAGCCTAAGACACCTCAGGACCAAATCCCCACCAGCTGCTGTCTGCGGGGATGGGGGACCCGGAGCTGGGGGGGCTGGGTCTAAATTACACTGGCCCAGCCTGGCCTCTGGTTAGCCCAGGTTGCTCCTGGAGAGGCTGCTGCACTGCACTAATTGCTGGGTTAATGCGTTCATACCTCAAAGAGGCAGCATCATTGGGGGGAGGGAGGGGGAAGTGGGCTCTTTTATCACCACAAAGAGGACAAAAAAGTCCTTTTTAGTGGCCAACAAGCTTCGGTGGCCAGGATGGCTTGTGTCAAAGGAGCCTGGAATGAATGGTCCTTCCTCAAGGGGTGCTGGGTCACTCGTGGGGACGACTCCTGTGTCCTCCTGGAGGGACACGTGTGATGGCAACCGGGGGGCCAGTACCTGCTGGGCAGGGTCAGGAGCCAACCCCACCATCAGGAGAGGGGCATTTCTTCTGTCCAAGCCCAGGTGTCGTTAGGCAGCTGCTGGGGGAGCTGGGGCTTAATTAAGAGCAGCCTTAATCCAATAAGTGCTCTACCTCAGCTTACAGGGGCAGGAGAGGACAGTCCCGAGACTCCTCTTGTTTTACCCGAATCGCCGCTCGCATCCTGGAGCCCTTTCCTGAGTTTCTTGGAAGTCACCGCCTGACTCATTCCCAAGGTCAAAGAAAACAAAGCCACCTTTTTAAGTACAAACAGCTCAAACTCCCAAACGGGTCACCGATTCTCCCTTCCCAGATCGGGTCTGGGAGGCAACAGGAGGCTGCACAGAGCAGCCCCAGACCTGCCAGGAAGGATGGGGATGGAGCCCCTGTCCCGGGGGTCCTATGGGGACAGCCAAGTGCCATCACCCCCACCCGGGGTCTTCTCAAATCCAGAGGATTTTTCCAGCAGCAGCTTTTATGGAGATCCCCAATTTTACCAGCCCCATCCCCCGAGGGGTGCAGGGAGATACGGCTCCCGTGAAGGGTAAATTCCATTTTCCAGCGGCGTGCACCGCCAGGCAGAGCAGCATTTAGGGCTCAGTCATGGCCCAGGAGCTCCCCGTACTATCTGCCAGCCGAAATCACCGCGTTGCCATGGCAACCGCATCCCATGCCCCGGGCATGCTAATAACGCTCGGGAGAAGCCGAGTCCCCGGCAGCAGCCTCCAGATAGAGGGAGGAGGGAAGCCCCAGTCACTGCGAGGGTTGGAAACCCAGAAATTCATCCCCGTGGATCTTAGAGAAGCTGAAAAGCCCTGCTTGTAGGGGGAAAAAAAAATAAAATATAAAAATAATGTGAAAACCAGCTCACAGCCCTATTTATTTCTCACATTTATGGGAACACTGGAGTCACAGCGGGCTGTGCCCTGCTACGGCCTCATCCTGGAGAGGAAGAGAGAGCCATAGACCACACAGACCCCCCCCAGAATTAGGTTTCCTGCCTCTGATAGATTTTTGAGGAAACCTCCCAAGGATTTGGGGGCAGCTTTTCACTCGGCCCCGAGCCCCCGCGGGGCTGTCAGGAGCAGGCAGGAGCAATCTGTCCATCTGCATGAGGATGTGACACCCAAGTTGAGCCTTTTCCTCCCCAGATTAGGCATCGCTTTTCTCCCCCAGCCCTAAGATCTGCCCGGGGGGGACCAGGCATTTCAGCCCTTGGGGAATTTCACTTTTTTTGGGGGGGGACTTAAATTCCAGGGATTCCCAATGCAGGGACAGCCCCCCCGGCCACCAAAACCAGTGCAAACACAGACACCCATCTCCTGGCCACACACCAGAGAGGGGGAAAACCATCCCATCCCCCCCCGTACATGAGAATCAGCCACAGCAACAGTCAGCAATAAATTAAACCTTAATGAGAAAGGCAGCGAGTGCATCGCCTTGGGTCGGGAGGTGTGTGCGTGGGAAGGGGGCACGGATGGGCTGGTCCCTCCGGGTGTGGGGTGGGTTATGGGGGAGCAGAGCCAGTTCCCCCCCCCCTTCCTTGCTCCCAGCCAAGGCTGGGGAAGGAGCAGAGCTGTGGGTCCTCCCCCAGCGTCACCATAAATAGGTCTTGGCTGGGGAAGGGTGTTTATTGCTCAACCTGCTCAGGTTCCTTCAGAAGCAGCACCAGCAACACACACCAAATCCACCAGGAAAAATTACTGGAGAGTCACCTGCACCAACGGGGAACGGAGCCAAAGCTTCCAGGACTGGAACCAGCAGGAATTTCAGTGCCCATCACACCACAACCGGGGTCCGAAGAGGAAGGAAAAGGCTTTTTGCCAACAGCTGCAGAAGGGATTGTGCTGCAAGAGCTCATCCTGCCACTGCCAGGGGGTCCCCGTCCAGTGTCACACTCGTGTGCGCTCCCCTGACACGTGCACACCTGCCCTGACACCCTTCACTTGTTTCCTAAACCCGTGCAACAGGCAGAGAACCCTGCAGGGAACAGAAGTGGCTTTAAGGGAAGATGGAGCCCTGAAGGGCCATTAGGAAAACCCTCCGGGCTCCAAGGATTCGGGCAGAGAAGACAAATGGGGGGAAACGGCTCCAAACCATCCCTCTTCTGACAAACTGCAAGGAAATAATTAGTCCCACGCACCCTCAGACGTGACATTTGTGTAAAGTCTGCTGCTAAGTAATAGCTGCTGAGGCAAAACCAGTAACCTTTCGAGAACAAATGAGAACCAGGGAGGGAAAAATGACAAAAAAAAGCCACCCGTGTGAGCTACCTGTCGGGAGGTGCCGCTGGTTCCTGATGGTACAACAGGATCCAAACGCTTTGTCCCCACTTTGGTAGGAGCATCGCTGTGTTTTCCCCTTCCCGAGGGTGCAGGACGAAAGGAGACAGGTTTTGGTGGG